GACACGTTTTCCCGGAGTTACCCGTCCTCCCCGTTCTGACGTGATTCTGATGTCATGTTGATCTTTTTGCTGGGTATTTTTCCAAGGATGATTGTTCGTGTTTTGACTGCTTGAGAATTGGGTAGAGCACTTTTCTCGAGAGGGTGATTTGTTTTTCTTGACAGACCTTGTAGGCGTAGAAATTTGACATCAAAAAGGTTTGAAAGCTTTGCAGGACGTGTTCTGTTGGAAGATCCGGCGATTTCGTGGGACATGTCCTATTGGCAGAGTCGTTTGGATTGGAATGTTGGATGATTTATTGTTAGGGGTTTTGGTTTTTCTGTCTGCCGTTTTGTCTGGCAATGATAGTCGTGTCGGCGATTTCGTAGATACTACCTCGTACCGAGCAGGGGGGCTGTTCGGGGTGCTCGGTAGAGTATACTGTCTACGGGGCCTCCGGGGGGTACGCGGATGGAATGTATTGACGGACATGCTGCATGGCGTGGTGTGGCCTACCGCATGTCTCTTACTCTCTAAGCAACAAGGTCTTGAGTCAACCTTTCTCTCTTTCGGCCTCTGACGAGCTACCGCACCCAAACACACGGACGTCCGTCCACGAGAGGTTTCATGGTGGACGTCAATGAAACATTTCATGGGCGGCAGAGAAATACTCCAATGACGCCAACTTGCCGGACAAATGAGCCTTGGATGTGCTGGACATCGACGCCCAAGAAATGTGTCCATGGAAATCCATAGACTTCCAAGAAGCTTGTCATTTTTTCATTTTTTCTCGGAGTTCCTTGGACAACCATACCATGAAATATTTCATGGAGTTTCATGGAACTCCATGGACTTCCGTTGAAATTCCATGGCATATTTCATGGAAGTCCATGAATGAAAGGTTCATGGACATTTAATTTATGAATGCATGTCATAGATGCCCATGAAATGTTTCCATGAAATGTTTGTCCGTGAGGTGGATCACGTCATCCTTACGAACGCTACTGCGGTAGTACTCACGTATGGTTTGAGAGCAAGACGTGTGCAAGTGACCGTTCCAAGGGCGTGGATCTTCGGGGTATCTCCCGACATGTCTTTGGTAGTTGGAATTGTTCCGTGTTGCAGAAAGTCTGCGCGTCTTGTCGTCGGTGAATTTCTTGCGACTGTTGCTTGATGCTTTGTGGCGCACGTGGCGCCCATTCTTTCCTGTTGCTTGTCTACGAGGGCAACCTAATAAACGACTTTACCATCTCTTCATCCCTGTCAACCTGGTCAGTCGTGCTTATCCAGCAGCACTAGGCTTGGAACCAATCAACACTCTAGAGCGAAGGTTAACCCCATATTCCCCTGATGAAGCGGACACATGTCGGCTGGATCTGGAGATGCTGGCAAGGGCAAGGCAGCCCCGACTCACGAGGAGCTCAGGACTGCCGTCGACGAGGGCACCGCCAGAATGGAGCGTATGATGACCGAGAAGTTAGGGACCGTCATGGAAGCCCTGTCTCGGTTAGTGCCCGAGACACCGCCCGCCGAAAGTACGACCGGAGCGGGCGGCGGGGGAGAGTCACGGGAGGGAAGGCACGCCCCTCCCGGCGCTGGTCGTGTGGATCAAGCGCCGACCACCGGACAGGTGCTCGAGGGAGCACGAGGACTGCCGGACACAGCCCCGCAAGGACCCACGCTGCCGTCTGTGGGGGACGTCTCGCACGATAGCGCAACCAGTGACCCGCTGGCACGGTACGACCCAACCATGAATGGCCGGATCCCGCGCCTCAAGCAGCTAAACTTCGATGGCCAAGAAAAGAACTGGCTAATGTTCAAGAACGACTTCACGACGCAGATGCAAATGATGCATGCTCTGAACGATAGCCGAGACATTGAGGTCAAAGGGGAAGGTTGACGGGCGAGTGCAACATGCGTTCGTAGCAGTCGGGGAGGGGTCTAGGAGGAGGCGACGGTCGAGGAAGAAAAACGGAGGGGATGAACAGGCATGCGTAGCGAGTGATGGTGACGCCGAAAAAAAAGTCTGTCCACTGCCACATCTGCTCCGCAAACCACTATGCCCACGAGTGCCTTCAACAGGTCTGCCAGAGTTGCGGAGGAAGAGGGCACCATGTGAAAAAATGCGCATCGAAAGTGGCGAGTGAGTGAAGTTGCCGTGGCCGCGATGGAAGTAGAAGAGTTTGGACGTCGCGTACGAAGCGCTTTGAATATTCCGGCGTGATGCTTTGCTGTCTATCAAAACTGTCTTTCCCCCTGTGTGCGATCGGTTATTTTTTCCTGGAAAGCTGCCTCCGAATGCCCGACGATGTAAGGCTGTGTCTTATCAGGCCGAAAAAATACGTGACGTATTTTACCGAACAGTAACTTTTTCACGGAACCGTAACTAGGGTTTCCAGTGGTTCTTGTCGGCAGAAGGCGCGAAGGTGCGTATTTTTTCAAAATTTACGGAAAGCGCCACGGCTCGACGTACACACACCGGTCCCGACCAGGCGAGAGACCCGAGGACTCCCACAACAGACGTGATAAACCCACACCATGAACAACAACGCCGTAGCAGTGGCAGGCCGGCCATCAAGAACGAAAACGGTACCTCTGCGACTGCAGGGTGGAGGTGAAAGTGGTGCAGCTGCTGGGCATGGTGTTGCCCAGATCACGCCTGCTGGCGCCGTGCAGCTCCAGCCGGCACCGAGCGGCATGGTCCGCCAGGCCGTCCACAGCAGGGTTACCCCCCATACCGATACACAACAGGGGGTGCCACCTGGTGCGGGGCTGATGCCGGGCCTCATGGACACTGAAGGTACTAAAGCTCGTCGGGTGGCCGTAAGCATGATTCTGAACGACAAGCAGTTTGGCGAAGCTTCAGGGAAGAATTGGAGCGAATCGGACAGCAGCGACGACGACAACGGGAAGGACGCTCCGATGTCAAGTGGCAGCAGCAATGTGTCGGTAGAGGAGAGTTCAGTTCCGTCGGACATAGGCTCACAGGAGCCTGGAGATGTCGAGTCCGGAGATAGCGTGTTCGCAAAGGAAATACGGGAAGCAATATTCGGGGGAGGGGGAGCGGGCAGAAAAAAAACCCATCGCAAGCGGAAGGCGAGCGCCGGCGGCAGCGCCGTAGGGAACAGGAACTCAACAAAGGCAAGCCTAGGAGCGAGTGCCAAGAAAGCCCGGGGCAAGGACTACCCGCTCTGGGCCGCACATCTGCTGAGGAGGACATGCGCGCACCGCAAGATCCCGAGGATGTCGAAGGAGGGCGACAAGCATGTCCTGGTGCAGGCCCTGCGATCTCACGACGGCAACATGAACCGGCCATCTCCGTACTATGACGACCTCAATGCTATCACAGCCGGTGAGATGCTGGTATTGTATAGATTCGTCGTCGATGAGAGTCACAGCAGACGGCACAGAGCTTTGAGTAAAATTATAGGTAAGTATGCTGCAGTTGAACGCAGTGTGCGTTAAGGTTACAAAACAAAAT